TCGCTTTCTGCTATTCAATTTACGGTAGAAAAGTCTGATTTCAAGTGATTTTAAAAGCAACAACTGACAGAAATTGTTTTTGTAGTAAAGCTTCAAACTGCGCAGGAAATTTCACACCACAAAAACAATTTTGGAGAACTTACCTGGTGAAATAAATGCAACTAACACAAAGTAGTTTGAAAAAAATCTGTTTTTTAATACATCTTTCTTCGTCTACTATCTGAGTTACTCACTTGTTGCCGAGATTTTTTACAAATCGTTAGTAGACAGCACGCGAGCTGATTCAATGATAAGAGTTGCATAAACAAACCCATTTGTAATCTGTAAAACCAATTTACTGCAGGGAGAAAAAAAATAAACATGTTATTTGCCGGCTTACGGTCAGTCTGTACGGTGAAAACTGTGACCTTGGGCTTGGCCTGCGGCCTCGGGCAGCATTTTCAAGACCTCAGTCACAGTTTTTCACCACACGGACTGACTGTAAGCCAGCAAATAACATATATATATATTTAAAGTAGTCACTTACCTTATATTTCCTTGAAGAGATGTTAAGTTCTGCTAAAGAGAGCTAGGTTTGAAAAAAGATATAAGATCAATGATGGGTGAACTTGTTTAATTTTTATGCTTTGAAAAACCTTTTACCTTGCTTTAACTGTCTCAGGTGAGGTTTTTTTTTTCTTTTTCCTTTTTTTTGCGGGGTGGGGGGGAGAAGCCATAATTAAACACATTAAAAATTCTGTATATCAAAGCACCAAATTAAATGCATTCTGCCAAAGATGCCTCACAAATCCACAATATTATCTCTCTAGAGTACTTCTGTATCCTTTAGGTGACAGCTCAGGCAAAAAAGCACTTAGCTAATCAATCCTGGCTATGGTTTATTTCATCTACGAGTCTGGCTTAAGTACCAAACTATACATCACATAATTTTTGTTGTTTAAACTTTTTCTCCTCACTACACTTTGGCTACAACAAAGTAAAATCAGAACAATCTAGTGATCAAATGGCTGATACTACTTATGTCTAGCAAGACCCTAATATACCAGTATTGCAAAATAGTTTCTTCTTTGCTACACACAACTCACCACAACATCCTCTGTCTCCCCATGTTCAAAGTATTCCTGAAAATGAAAACAAATATAAAATATCATGTATTTGCAAACAAACATAATTGAACGATAGTTTTTTTCTGAGGTTATTGGTTAGTAATTAAGTTGTCACCCCAACCTTTTTAGGCACAAGATGTCACTTTTGGCAGTAACTTTTTAAAATTACTCCCTCAAACAGTCAAAAATTGTTTGGATATCATTATGGAAGTATAATGATACACTTTTTTCTTACAAGCTGTTGATAAGTCATGATTATATCAACTAGTGCACGTTAGCTCCTGATCATGGGAGATACCTGTGGAAACATCTTAATAACACTTGTTCACCTGTACAATAGGTGTGATGTTTGTGCTAAACTCTTCCTCAGTCAGCTCTGGTTTACATTCCTCTATTGCAAAAGGCTCCTAAGAAATTAATTTCAGATTACACAATAGCACACAACCAGAGTCTAACATTATTCAAAAACTACCTATAGATTGACACTTGAGAAGAAGAATGTTGGCACCTTAAACTTGGTGTACATAAATGAGTGAACAAGTTCCAGTGTTGTTGGACAATAAATTGTTGAAATCGCAGTCACAGATGGACATCCAGGGCATGGTTATTTGTTAATTTACACAATAAAGGTCATGCCAACTGTGAGAACACAGTATGATCACTTCATTCTGCCCTGATCGTAGGGATGGGCTCTGGCAAGTGATGTGCCAACAAATATGTCAATTCTGCTTTTCAATAACTATTTCATATGACAGTGACTTCAAAGCTAAGAAGTTACCATTAACCAGCACATAATGAACTCGGTCTGGTGATCAGCTAATGCTGAGATCCTGGGAAATTCATTTTAAACAACCAGCATTGGTTTTGTTATCCTTGGTAGTACATATTTGTTTCTAACATGCAAAGTTCTGGTTATAGCACAAAAAAAATAATCTCATGGCTTGCTCTTGTAATTTATATTATGATTACTGTTATTATTCAGGTGTAACTCTCACATCTTCATCTTCCTCCGATTCATAGTTCGGATCATGCTGGTCTCTGATCTTTAAATCTTCTTCATTCAACACTTCACCAATGGCTCCCCAGGTACCCTTTCCTCCAGCTCCACCTGAAATTTAATTGTGATTAGTCTCCTGATCTATGTACATGGCAATAATTGCAAACGTTAAGTGCTCNTCACTCCGCATGAAAAGCTTATTGAAATCGCTAAAAAAAGATTATTCGCTAGCAAAACAGCCATTCAAATCTTACACGTGAGTACGTACGAAGGGTACACAATATATTTGTACTCTTCGATAAATTTTCCATGCAAGTGTGCATGCATGGAAACACTATTTCGAAATTCTAGCTTGGAAAAACTTCGAAGTTCTGGTCCTTTTAATTTGAAAAACAAACACGGAAATTTTACGCACATCACACTGAAGGATTATAACTCCTTTACATAAAGGATGTTGAAAACACAGTATTGTACATGTACGTAGATGCTTTGTACAAATTTGCATCGTCCAAGGTTTTGTTATCTTGAGCGTGCAAGGGCAAATGCACGAAGGACTAGAAAATGGCGAAGGCGGGCCCTGGATAAGGCACGACTCACTTTTAGGCTAGAATTGTTGGTGACAAAAGAGGAAATGCAATTTTTCAAGTCAGAGTAAATTCACTGCTCACGTCGGCCGCGTGGCAGGGCTTCAAATCTAGATCAACCGCACTATATGCAATATTCATGAACCGAGACATGTTTTGATACGAAACCATAGCTCGTTTAAAGGTCCGAAATTTAAGTCAAATGCAAGTACAACTGCACGACAAAATGCCAGTCGAACAACAACGCAATACCATATAAAGAGATATCCAAGCACCTTGCAAAAGACATGGCTAAACTTGCTCACCTTTCTTCGGTAAACCACGGCGTCCGCTACGAGATTTTCTGTCGTGATGTTTGTCTTTCGTGGCTTTCACGAACGATTCCTCGCCATTTTGCGCCCCGTTAACACCATTCTTTAGGCTCGTATGAACAGCTTCCACTACTACCCGTTTTTCGTTCTTCGGTGGAACCTCTTTGACGTCTTCAACCGCAGAGGTGGACTTGCTTCGAACTCGCATCTTCTTCGTTGATGCAGTTGGAAATGTGGTTGCAGGGACGGAGGAAGGGGAACTGGCCATTTTCACCGTTCCAGAGCGAGAGAGAAAAAGTTTAGCATAGAACGCTTTGCAGAAAAGCCTTGCTGGCAATCCCTGCTAGCCCGGGCCGCGAGAAACAAAATTGAACAAGCAAAGCTTTGAAATACAGTAAAACAAACCAGTGTGAAGGAGATTATTTCTGATTCTGGAAAGTTTGTTGTTTTTGTCGCAGCTGAGTCAGGTGACATTGCGCTCGCCTTCTGATTGGCAATTCAATAATAAAGAGGGTGGGGGAGGGGTTTGGTTGGCTTTTTTTTATCTGGGGAGGAGTGGGGCATTAAATGTCTCATAAGCGATTTGAGAGAGAGAAAAAAATAATCAAGGCAGGTCCTATTAGACTTTAGACATTAGACTTAACACATATCTTCGAGATAATTGCTCAATAACGTTGCACGTTTTTCTTATATTTTTTTTTCAGAAATGGTTAGAGTTCAAAATCCAAACCAAGTACACTTGAAAAACTCTCCCCACTCAGAAAAATAATTTTTTAGAGTTAAAAATCCAAAGCAAGTACATTTATAACCCTCGCCCTGCCCTCACAAAAAATAATAATAATTTAGAAAAAGCAAGCACATTACATGATCGCGATCGACTGCTAGCTGTCACGCATCAAACATGTTTGAAGTTGTCACGCAATGCATGCGGGCGTGGTTTTGTTTTGCCACGTTTTGATGTACGTGCTTCCACTCAACCGCAAAACAATAACAAAGCCAACCAACGGTAAAAATAATAAACGGAATCTATAGAATATAAAACCACGACGAACTGGTAAAACACACATTGGATATCTGTTTTGCGAGTATTCTAGGCATAAAGTAGCAAGTCCTATATTGTCCCAAACGGGTCTACGGGATCGATATTGAAATTCGCCAAAAGCACGGCACTGTATGTACTCACCAATTTAATCTCGCAGCCCTCCGAATCCTTCTCAGGAGAAACCGAGTAGGCTTGATCGATCAGGTCTGAAAAACCTCACCACACGAGCTGTGAAAATGCCAGTAAGATTTTGCAGAAAAAAATTTACAATTATTACCTTGTTTAGTATTTTCCCCGTACAACGCCTCAAGCGATATAAATATATGGACAAAACAGTGGAAATTGAACCGAAGTCAATCACGGGAAATTGTAAACATTACACACCCCGTGCTCTCATTGGACAAATTCCTATCCTTTATTGTTTGACTATTTCATCAGAATAGTCACGTGTCCCACGATGCGACTCGCTATTGATAAAAGGTCACGTCTCGCATTTTTGTTCTCAACTGAACGCTGTACGACTGCGAAAGATGGTAAAAAAAAATGAAAAATTTTCTTTCGATATTCATACCGCGAGATTTTAGAGGGCATTTATTCATATTTCGTCCAAATGCCTCTTTGTAATTGTCTTTTCTTTTCAGCTCAGTGAGTGGGGGTCAGTAGTCACCCGCTTCCGGTACGTGACAATTACCACTCGTTTACACGCATGAAATGTTTCGCGTGCGCGTTACCACGCGTAAGATGCACTCAGATGATGCAATGTCAGCCAAGGGCAACCACATGTTAAAAGAAATAGTTTGTTTGCAAATTTTTTTCTACTGGGAAGCCGGTTAAACAGGCAAAGGTAAACTGAATGATGTAACGATGAAAGATCACAAAGGCGAAAACGAGAGAAAGGTCGGCAGTATTTTCAAAACTTTTTTCTATCTTATTTCTTTCTTTCACCGTTATAGAAATTTTACAAATGATTTGCATTATTTTATTAAAGGCGTCTAACAAATAGTTTGTTTAATTCCAATTGTAAAATTTTAAGCTATCCCAAGCGCATCGCCCTAAAGTTTTCGTATAAGGGAGAGAAGGAGGAGTTGTGTGACAGGGATGTCACGTTACTAATTGCGTCACTCCGATAGCTTTCGTCATCTTCAACCATTAAAATTTAATGTCATATCAAATTTAAATGCTTTCAGCTATCGTCCCTCAAGTTTTATCTCGGCTCTTAAAAAGTCAAAAACGGAAAAAGAGAAAAAAGAAAACTGATCCTCACGGCAAGGCGAAGAGATTGAGAAAGCAAACAAAACAAAAAAATAATACACTTCTCGGGGACAAATTTCATTTCTTTCTCAATTTCTTTTCCTCACCGTGAGGAACAGTTCTGCCTTTTTTTCACTCATTGTATCTCAAGACTATCAACCAAAGATCGGCCACAGCCACAAACCAATGAGGAGTGCCCAGTTCAAATTTAATAGAGTCGCTAATACTCTTAAAATTCTTAATAGATTTTCAATTTTATTTCTTTAAAATTATCTTATCCTATCCAAAATATATCTTTTATTTCCAAATAAGGTGCTAATTTTCGCAGAAACCTCAAAATTTGTTTTCAATGAAATACGTCCCTAATGATTGAAACTGCCTGATTAGCTGGCCAATTTTAACGTGAAACGCATTGTATCACAGGCTTCAGCCCTGTTTCATAAATATTTGACATGTTTTTATATATTAACACGTTCATGTTGATTTCACATGAACTAGCCAATAAAAACCACATATCTTGAACACGTGTTTGTTACTTTGGCTCTGATTGACCATACATTAACTATGGATTGACTGGAAAGTTTGGAAACCAACAAAGCGTTGTCCAGTGTTTGTCTGCAGCACTTTCCAAGTGGCAACGGCACCACGATTTCCGCTTTGAGAGTGAAACTTGAAAGACTATTTTAAACCATTTATTTTAAACCTCTGAAGATGAAAACCATCGCCCTTCGCGCATTTGTTTCACCCACTGAAGTCTATTCCCGTGCAATTTAAACCGCGTCCACGCTAGAATCTGGATGCACGCGCACGCGATTGGAACGTAAACGAGAACATAAAAACATCCCCAGCGTAACGTGTTATTAGTGCTGTCGTGAAAACTAGTTCTGCTGTTGGAAGAGGACGCCCAAAGATCGTCCGAGTAAAAGAGTGAGTGACCGGTCTGTTCGGCTAAAAGCCATGTTCCAATAAGCGGCGCTAACGTCTGGCCGGGCTTGGAGAAAAGCGCTGAAGTTCCAAATATCAAGGCTGATATAGCTTGTTTACGGTTGTGAAGAACAAAATCTTCGTCCACGAGATCACTGATGATCAGGTTGAGAAGTTTACAAGTTCCTTCTGTGAACACCCGATTGCTGAAAACAATAAAAGGAATAAACATTTAGTCCTTGTAGTGTAAAAAGTGACGATATCATCTGTAAAACAGTATTTGTCACTTGTTCTCACACTGTCCGGAGCAGTGTTGTATGGAGTATTTCAAGTTTTTCTCACCTCCATGGTGATATCTGCTGCTGAGGAAAAGAAAAAGCCCAGATAGATCTAGGACGATCTGCTCCATGCCATAACTTATGATTAAACTTTACAACTGAAGCAGAAGAGGGTTAAATTTATATACGCTCTTTTTTTTATGAGAACCTTGTTTATAAGAACGGCTGAGATTAACCAAAATTTTAAGAACGTACCAAGAACATTCCTCAGGCTGTGAGTCGATTAAGAACGTTTTTATTTTGCTAATCTGTATGTATTAAATGACAAGCATAAAATAAAGGTAACAAAAAACGTAACATTAACCCAAATACTTGAGGGCATGTTTTGTACAACATTAACAGTTGTTTTCTTATTGCATGACACACATCTCGGTTTGTAATAATCAGCAGTTCTTATTTATAACTGTTCCAAAATAACCTCCATACCATCAAAGTCATCAGGTGATACAAAGTCTGAAGTAATATCAAGGTAGTTGACCTTGTTTACCATGTAAATTTACGAACATCTTTAAGAACGTTTTCAGTCTCTAATCGCAAAAAATATAAGAACGTTCAGCCACAGCTCCAAAAGTAGATGTTCTTATATAAAAATAGTGTGTATGTTTTTTGCCGGCTGTGAGGTCCGTATAGCGAAAAACCGTGACCGAGGTGTTTTCAAGTCCGAGGTCATAGTTTTTTCACTATAAGGACTGACCCTAAGCCGGTAAATAACTTTTTTTATTTTTTTCCTCTCTCTCAAACCACTGTTATTATTACATGAGAGTCTGGATTGGTAGGCGACTACGGGAACGTTTCAGCGAGCACCTCCGCAGCATTCGAAACCGATCGCGCGGGTTTCCCGTAGCTGTACATTTCAACTCCGCCTCCCACTCTCTGGATGACATCATGGTCTGTGGCTTGAAACAGTGCTCTGGCAGTAACATCAGCCGCAAGCAGCATGAAATGAGATTAATCTTCAAGCTGGGCACGCTTCCACCCAACGGACTGAACATTGACTTCAATTTCTTGTGACTGTAGGTCCTGCGCGTATTACACTTACGCGCGCTAAAACAATGGTTTTCCTATTTGTTAACTTTGTACTTCATGCGCGCGCTTTCCATGACTGTGTACGCGTACAGTTTTTTGTATGGCGTGGCTAAATCCACCTACTGAAGAAGGGCTAAGTCCGAAAAGTTTAGTTTATCAGAACAAATTTGACACTTTTCAGAGAATTTTAGCCTTATATACAACTTTTCGCCAGTGTCACGCATCGTATGAGTTTTTTGTCCATTCCTACTCACTTTTATTATTGTTGGCCTTTTCTACACACACATCGCGCGCGCGTTACCGTGACCGTGGTCAGCAGGGCGCTTATACGTGGTGGTCAGAGATAGGAAGATCCGGACCGCGCTAAGAACCAGTCAGATTGCAGGATTCGTTACCGTGTTCTCTTGGAAAAAATAAGGAATAAAACGTTAAATCTTACCTCGCTATGTAAAAACAAAGCAAAATAGGCCAATTAGGTCCAACCATCAGCATTATCACACTCAGCCCGAGCTTAACATAGAATAACCACTTGATGACAGAGTACACTCCAAAACGACGACATAAACCCAAGAAATAAAGATTGTTGACGTGAGGGGCGACAAACGACACGCCCAACAAGATGGCACCTGTCTGTGGAGAAATTGAGTCCCCAAGTAACTTGTCAAGGAAGAGTGGGAAGAAGTTGCTGTTGAAATGACAGTGAAATACCTGCAAAAATAAACAAGGACAATTAGATCCTGGGTGCTTGTCCTGTATTCACTTTTTTATGTTTGCTCTTGGCATCTTGGTTGCTCAGGAAAAGAGAAAGCCTGACAAATCTTCATGGGGGCATCCAAACAGTCTTCGACTCCCATCATCCAATCACAAATAACACAAGTTTTGTTCCCTTTCAATTGATAAATCGAAGGGAAACAAAGGATCTGTAACTTACAGTGTGAACCGAGAAGACGAGATTAGTAAGATATTTATTATCAGTATGCGTGTTTGATGGGTTCGGGAACATCTTCAAATTTTTTCACGTGGTAAGGTAGAATATGGCCCGCCAAACTGACCAATCACAGCCTGCATAGTAACTAAGAGGTATAGTAAGAGATAGATAGATAGATAGATAGATAGATAGATAGATAGATAGATAGATAGATAGATAGATAGTCATGTTATATACAACATAAAACAACCAGCAGCTCATATCAGTGCAAGCATTTATGGGATTGTTTTGGGGGGGAGCAAACAAAGTATGGTGGAAAGGTTCAATATGCAGCTCAAGACAGGAACCACTGAACCACTGGTGAGCTAGCCGCCAGTGTACTGAATTTAAAGAATGAATATCCTGTTACCCTTATGATTATCAAAATACTAACCATTCTCAGGTCAGCACTACTCAGTCTTACAGATGTGGTATAATAGACCAACCGCTACTCTTTCACAATGCATTTAGGGCTTGGTGCAATTCCTGTATTAAGCTGCATTTAACATTTAGAGGAACGCTGAGCACAGCAGGGATTTCAGTCTAAGCTGATGTTCTTTTCAACTCAAACAAGAGATTATGATCTATCATGGTCTCTTGGCTTAACTTTGTTACTACTAACATCAAAGCATAATAAAATTACCTCCATGAGAAATGGCATAAACTTACTTGTATTAGGTTCATGAGAGCAAACCAAATGAAGTTTGAATGGGTCATCAGCTGCTTGACAAAGATCTTTAGCTCAAGAGCTTGATCAGCCTCTGGTATCGTGGATTGCACTTCTATTCTGTAGAGAGTCAAAATTTATCTCAAAACATTTAGCCCAACTTTATTTTAATTATATCCATAGTTTATAACAGTTCTTCATAATTATGCTTAATTATTTAATATGCAACTTCTGTCACTTACTTTTTTTCTTCCTCAGGAGTGTCCACTTTAACTTTCTTTGAGAGAAAATGCTGCTTCAGCAAAACAGAACTGACTAGGAATCCAACCAGAGAAAACACAGCAAGTAATGCACAAAATACATGGAATGAGGTCATGTTGTCCCTATCCCAGAATTGGTATGACAGAAACACAGACAATGAACCACAACCACTGAATACTGAGCAGTACCAGTTCAAAGAGGTCCGATCTTCAGATGACAGTGCCAGGTCGGCAAGTAATGCCAGATGGTTCAAGTCAATCATTGTTAGAAAGCCGTCGTACAAACACAGACAGACAACAAACTGGATTGATGGATGACCCCAGCGGAACCAGATGCTTAAGAAGGACAATGTGAACAGTGGTCCATATTTCATTAGTGCCCTGTTTAAAAGGAACAAAATTGTAACATTTGTGTTCTTTATTGGACAAGATTTGGATTTTTGGTTTACACTGAGCTAGCCCAAGCCCCTGGTGTACATGTTTGTACAATTTGCAACTACAGCAACTGAAATTAATTCAGTTTTAAATAATTTCTCATCTCTCAAGATGAGATTCAATCTAGACTCAAGAATTTTGGAGATCTAATACTGCAAGTTCAAGACTTCAAGACTTCAAGACAGAGACACAGCAGATCTGAACTATTAAACTATTGATAACACATGTGGGTGTTTGGAGGTGTTATATGATGATTCCATTAGTACCAGTTACCTCCTCATTTATAGATATTATTTGTTGTGTAATTTCTTTGGGCATCAGGAGAAGACTCTTAATGAGATATTTGTATGGTTTACTCACCTAAAACGTTTTTGAACAATCTCTGGGTGGCTAAGGCTTGACCTTCAAGAGAAATTTAAGCATGTCATATTTATAGTTGTCTCATATGCAATGCCTTCATGTATGCGTCACCCACAGAATTAAAAATTAAAGGTTTTGCTAATTGTGTATGTTAGAAATTACCATCAACTTGCCATACAACTGCCACATTGAACAGCTGAACATTATTAAATCAGATAAAACAAGAGAAATTAATTAAGTATTTACATATTCACTTGGTGGGAGTGCCTGACAGACCTGGCACAACAAGGTCTCACCGGCTTAGTCTTGCTCAACCTTTTCTAGGCACCTTAATTGAAAATTGAGCTCGATCTAGTGAGAAAGTTGTGAAAATGTTTTGTTGCTAAATAAATTGTTGACATATGTGGAGCAAGACAGCTTCTCACATCAACCTGTCTAGCCCCAAACTTGTTCCTGGGATCACCCTCCTCAGCCTCCCTTGGTCATTGGGAGAAAGAACCTGGTTGCGGCTGATCACATGAACATCTGTGACACAAACTTTTCTACTGGGGTAGAGTCAACAAATAATTTTTGTCAATCATCGCTGGTCATCACCATGTTAAATCACACACGGGCAAATAAACCTTTGAAATTCTCCAGTCCTTTTTCCAAGCTTCACACAGGTCAAGTGAAATATACTTATATAGATATATATCCAGTGTATTGAAGTAGCACTCTGACTTCAATTTCAGCTGGTCGAATTAATAAGACATAAAACTGTTTTGCTGTTTGATGTTGCCTGAATTAACCTCATGGCACATTGATTGCTATAGAATGTTTCATATTTTACTATTTCACAAATTCTTGACTATGCCAAGGAACCATGTTTAAATGTCTGTCCAAATATAAACTTATATAAACTGATGCAGATGAAATATAAGCAAGGGCTTTTGTCAACAAAAATGTAAAAATCAAATGCAAGTCAGAATACTCAGCTAATCGGCTGTGTGACAGAAATACTTTTTAACATCCAAAATACTGCACAAAGAAGAAAATAAATTACCTCCAAATTCAGATATTCAAGAGTCTGATCCACTGGTTTCACTTCAATTCAGTATGTGACATTTCACAAGCGCTAAAAAAACGTTGAAAAGTTTGTGCTCCATTTGGTTGCCAAATTTCTTTGTATGGAAGTCTTCTATATTTGGGAGATGGCAGAATAAATGAAGCATTGTTCATCAGCAAAATTCGACTTTGATACTAGATAAAGCGGGTAGTTGTTGGCGGCTGCTTGAGGTTTTGAAACCCACAAAGTTTGTCATAGCAACAATCAAAACACCTTCCCACAACTTCCACCCAACAGATTTTTTTACCACCCAGATGCTGGGTGGTCACATGACCAGCCACAACCAAGGTCTTTCTCCCTAACGATCAAGGGACGCAGAGGAGAGAGATCCTGGGAATGCGGTTGATCTAGCCCTACACCCATCAGTTTGCATTATTGCTTTCTATAGGATTGCATCTGTAAATGGTTTTGCAGTGGTGTGCTGAACATCTCTTGATACCACGTTATATTAATCTCTTACAATAACTTAAAAGTTCATTATTAGACTGTGTGATAAATATAGGGTTGTTGATTTAGGATTACCAGATTATCCCTGGCAATTTCCCTACTAACAAAAAAGATCACAAATATACTGATCTGTAATTGTGGTCATTTCTGTTCCCGGGGAATTTATCAGCAATAATCTGGTCATTCAAAACAGGAAAAAACCAGCACAACAAGGTAGAGGTTGCAATATAAACAACATTAGGGCCAGTTCACTCGTAGCCTGGAATAATAAACATTTATAATAATAATAATAATAAACAATAATAATAATTAAATTTATATAGCACTAATTATAACTTAATGCTAATTATAACTTACTGGTTTTTTCCAAGTGCTTTATGATCACTCAGCCAGCCAAAGAGAGGATCATTAAGAGAGTTCCATACTAGAAAAATGGCCTAGAAACAGAACAAGGCAGATTGCAGAAAGAACTCAACAAATATAACTTACTCCAGTCACCTTATTATTACCCCCCACATATGGGCTATATAGGTATGACTATGTGCAGTTTTTCAGCCATTTTGGTCATAAATAGGGTATCGATTTTGGTCATAACTAGGGTATGGTTTTGTATTGTAGTCTTGAGTTGGTCTGAACTAGGGAAGTAATTATAACGAAGGTCTGAAACGGTGTATTGATTTAAGGGTCAGGTGATAAACAGGGTACCAAAGTTTTGGTCAGGTTATAAATAGGGCAAGGGTTTTGGGAAGCAGGCTGCATACCCCCACCCAATTTTTCTGGGAGTACTCCTCCTCCCCTCTAAGACTTCAAGGGAGCAATCTGCCAGAAAATAATCTAGAGCCAAAACAGAGAAAAAGGCATGCTCTGTGTTGCATAGATCCACATATTATATGTGCTAGAAATGCTAGAAACATGGGAGTTCTCAGGAAGCCTCAAGAGCTGTCCCTGAGTTCCACACAAGGCCAAAGAGAGATGCTGCTGCTTAAATACTGCAGTGTGCAGAGAAGTTACTGAACCATCTGACTTGTGGGGAAATGTTAATATGTCAGCAGCGTCTTGTGGCAGACGGCAATATGTATGTTCAATCTAAAATTAGTCTCCCAGATTTGGATGTTATTAGGGTGCACCAGAAGCATATCACCTATGCTTCTGGTTGGCACCTATTTGGCCCAAATATATTAAACAAAGGCTGCAGACTACCTAAAATCTGAAACTCATAAATTAAACAATTCAGTGCTCTACAAAAACGTCTGATACATTCAAGGCAAGATAACCTAAAACAAACCAAAAACCAAGAGAACGCTCACTCAATAAACTAAACCAAACAAACGACAGTTGAGTTATTATACTGAACTTATAAACTGCTTTTAACTATTCGAGCTTAGATAGAAACGAGACGTGACTTCAGTTTCAACGGTCAAAAGACTATTGATAGTCACAAATAACAAACTTTTAGAGAGCTACTTCTCCTTTACAGAAACTCGCAAGAATGAGTTCCATACTGACACGGAATAAAATCGTGATTTTTTTAGGGCAATCGATGCGCTAATGAAGGGCCTTAATTGGTGCGTTCATCTTAAATGTGTTATTTTTTTGTCGAGTATCTTACAAATCCAAATCTTGTTCAATGTTCCCGGTCTGATTTTCCAAAGACAAAACATTGTTTTCATGAGACAACAAAACAGGCCACTTGAGACAAAAACAAATGCACCTACCTCTCCCAACCAAAAGGAATTACGATCGATCTTGTAGACAGAAACAAATATGTCCACGTAATACAAAAGGAATACATTGTGAAGAATCGCTATGAAAAGCGACATCGAACCGTACGCTAAACGAACCGCGACACTTTTGTGGTACATTTTTTCCCCGTAATTTAAAACTAAAAATAAGTAATGTTTTTTCCTTCTTAAACTGTAAACTACCGGTGTCCGTCGATCTGCGTAAAAAATTTTTACAACATCTCCAATCTTAGGCTGGGGAAAATAAATACATCGCCAGGTAGCCAAGCTTTTACTTTTCCACAGGACACCCAACCTAGAGGAAGCTGGATTTAAGATAGAAGGTACATTTCTCATCCGAGCGTTAAAATTTTCACCAATTTTCAAGTCTTATTTAAAACCTGGGCTCCTGTTAAAACCCAACACTATTATCCTGACCATCAACGAGATGCTTTTACACCGTTAACAATTACTAACTCCAGGATGGAGGATTTAGCGTAAAAAAGAACATGAGAAGTATTGCAGGTGCCCAGAAGAAGGTTAACTGATAAACTGACTTTGAAATGGTTGTAAGGACTGCCAGGATCTAATAAATATGGGGAGCTATCATATTCTTTCTTATCATCTGACTTCTCCTTGAATGGTCAAAGCAAAATCAAGTGAGTATTATATAAAGCCAGAAACTGATGATAAATGAACGCTGCCGCCTCAATTAATCAGGGCTTAGTTTATATAAGGGGTAGGGAACAACCGCGTTCAACAATCGTGTTAGTCTTCTTCGTGTGGGAGTATTTTGGATCAGATTTGATCTTGTGACCAGAGGTGCCAACCTAAAAGATCGAAATTAGGGAGAACACCACTTTTACCTCTCAACCACCAAAACTGTTGTTCAAAGTAGAGCTCACCCACAAAAATGCGTCAAATAATCAAGAATACCACACCACACCCTCCACCCCTTCCAAAACGCCGAAAATCGGCCAAAATGTCTGCAAAGTGTATTTTATGCGCTTTCCTCCGGATTGTCTAGGAGATTGAAGGACCCATGAGGGAGACCAGGAGATTCAGTCTGTATCCGGAAGACTCCTAGATAATCCGGGAGAGTTGGCATAGATATGACTGTTATAAAACGAGAGAAAAAATTATTACATATAATAAGTCAAATTATTCTCGCATTTTGATTCGTTATTAAGTGTGATCTATTGGAGAACTGATATTAACATTTTTTTTAAATCTCTTTATTATATAAAACCACGGATGGTAGAAGACAGTCTTTTTACTATCCATGATAAAACAGATGTTATTTGTTATAAGATGTTATTTGCCGTGCGTCTGTTCAGAAATCGATCACAGATGTCAAACCACTTCGTTCTTCCGCAAGTTTTGACGTCATCTGTGATCTATTACCGAACAGACACAGATCGAAGATTTTTGAGAATATCAGAATCAGAATCAACAAAGGTTTATTTTGATGACACATTAGACGGGAATAGACCAGTTTTCCTTTGATTGGTTACTGTTTTGATGCCTTGTTTGTTTGTTTGTTTGTTTTGTTGACTGCTCTCTCTACTTGGTTCAAAGTATTGATTCAGCTTGCTCTATCCAACTGGAAAATATTCTTTTCTTCTAGGCACCAGTACGAAACCTGAAGTAAAATAAAGGTTTAATACGCGGGAAAAAATCCCGCGTTTTTCATGTAGGATTCCAATTGGTTCACTGCGCTTATTCAGCAAGCAGTGAATGGTCTACTGATAGCATCACTTTGGGTTTTGTTTACAGTGTACAGCCAACGTGAGATTTAAGATTTCGCGTAGCCTGTCTAATCCGTTCTTTATTGATTTCTTCTCGAGGTTAAGGACAACAAATGTACACAGACCCGATCCAGCTATGACAGCTTCCATTTCAGCGAGGCGTTAACATGATCAATTTCTAAGCATTTAGTATTGATCAGAGGTGTTGTACCGAGAGAAATGATGAAAAAAAGAAAAAACTTACTACGACTTCCGATCTAAATTTCTTGGAAGATTGCAAATACCAGAGGTACAATCAATTGCATAGTTGTAGAGATACTCCTGTGATAAAGTAATTACAGTCGAATCCCTATTAAACGGTAACCCCTATTAGGCGTGGGCCAGTAATCCAAGTCTCGATGAGGACTCATCTATTAATTTAACCTCTATTTAGCGGCCACTACCCATTTCCCCGAAGGTGGCCATTTAGTGGGGATTGAACTGTACTACCATTATTGTTTTATACAACAGCAGAATAATGCGAACTAGTGTTGCTAAAAACAGCAGAACAATACTTGGTAACTTTTCAATGTCGATTCCAAAAGAGGACGAAGCCGGTACTGATTAAAGGGATGGGGGATCATAGGTTACATTTTCCGGCGAGAAGTTCAAACTTGCTAAAATAAAAGGAAAACTCCAAGTGTCTGCAGTTTCTTTGCAAGTAACTTTTAGATCGTACGCTTACGGTTGCTATGTGGCGAAAATGGCTGCTGACCAGCAAGAATATAAGTCGGTTCGAACCAGTCAAATGCCGAACCGTGGAAAGCGACAAGCGGATTCAGAAGGCGTACTCGAGCCTCTTTATAGGAAAAAAATGACAGCTGTACATTTTACCACAATACCTTGTGAGCCTAACACAGCCTTTGCTCCTGCACTAACTACATTGTGTATGTTATGTTTTAATGTTTTTATGAGCGCTAAGGATTAACGACTTTATTTTTTCCTGCGGAGGATTTGCCAAGCCAATTTAATAATTAATTTATACAGAAAATGTCATAAAATATTCTAATTCATGCACTCAGACTGGTTCATAATAAGAGCTGCGTTCCAAACTGCTACATCAGTCACCGCTCGGAGGTCCCACAGTATGTATGAAAACAGATGGCCTTGAAAGCGATTTTTCACGAGTTTCACGCCGAGAGAGACTGATTGCAGATTGATCAGACTGCAAGACAGCATCACACGTTTTCCAAGCTATCAGCTTTTTTCTTCATCGGAACTAGCCTCGTACGACACCAGGGAAGGTTTTCTGTTCCTGGAAGACCCGCTTGTTTGGTCCCGTAGCCCGAGGGATTTTGATGTCTCCCTTACACGACCCGCTGTTCTATATGCAGCCTCAGGTTTGCTTACAAGAACGTCTGTAGAGCTTTGATCTTTGGAAAGAGCATATTCCTTGAAATGCCTTGAACTTGACCGCTCAGTTTCCCGGCTACGTAACTTCTCCGAGCTTCTGTGATCGCTGACAGTATTAATTTTACTGCTAAGACTGGCGTCTTTTTTCCTTGCGCGGTAATCATCGGCATCTTTACCACTGTCTTCTCTGATTCTCTTTAGCACGCTTTCTAGTGATTTTTCTTGAAAGAAAGGCAAAGCAACATTACCCTTCTGTGGGGAATGCATCCTTTTGGATACATCCTCGCTATCTCGTTTATATGACGCCCATTCACAATTCTTCCTTTCCACAGGGCTTCGATTTATATCGTGGCTAACTCGTTCTCTTCTTTCTTTACGTCTTAGTCTTTCTCGTTCTTTCTCCCTCTCTCTGCCGACACTAGGACTCCGTGATGAGGACGAACGACTAGAAGACAGTCTTCTCTTTTCTCTCTTCACTCTGCCACGTTTCAGGCTCCAATTGTCCGCTTTTTTCCCGTCCTTTTCCGGTGAGTACTCCGTCCTTTTGCGACTCCGACGGTTTGTCTCTTTGTGTGAAGCATCTGTATGAATACGACGTTCTCGGCCACTCTGATGTCTATGATCTTGTTTAGAATTATTTCCCTGTTGTCTACCTTTCTTCAATTCGTTCTGAGCTGTTCCAGTACTTTCCACCCATTCTTCACTGTCACTAGATTGTATGGAGGATTCGCTTTCGCTGGAAGATTCGCTGGAACTGCGTGATGAGCTAGACGAGCGTTTTGAGCGGCAGCGAACTTTCGCCGTGGACTTCTTTTTCTTTTTCTTGAGATGTTTTACCTTCTTCCTCTTCCTAAAAAAATAAAGAAACTTAATCAAACCGAGGTCACTACGCCAACTAAAGAGACGTTGCCTTGTAGGGGTGGCCATTCTAAGTCGGTAAAACTTGGGTGAACCCGAGTCTCCCTCTCACAACCCATTTCCGATTTTATGCTCAGCCTAGATGGTTTTAAGCGAGTTTTTCATGGGCTGCACCAAACGAACTACATTACCTGTATCATGTAAAATTTCGGAAGTTCTATTTCAGACAATTTTTATCTCATTTCGGACAACAATTTCGGAAACTTTGCTGAAACAAATAGATTAGCAGCTACAGTAAATTTACGCCTTCAAAACACGAATTGGACTGAAACGACATTGGTGAAAACGATAATTTTACTAGTGCAGCCTCGAGGTTTTATGAATTCGCCGACGAGAAAATAACACAAATTTCGAACAGTTTTATTTTCGCACACTTTTTCTGGTCCGAAATTAAAATCGTCCGAAATGTTTTGCAAGTAATGTACGCGCACAACTCAGATAAAACCCAAACGCAGCTCCTGCATTAAACCCAGCAAAACAGAAAGAGCTGACTTCTTTCTCTGCCAAGAAAAATTCATACTTGTTCACCCGTAATTAAGAGGCAGGAGTTGGGCAGTAGAGGCTAGCGCGAGCTTGAGGTTAACTAGGAGGGGGCGGCGAAATTTGACCATGTAGGGGGGAAATTGATTCCTATAACTTTCATGGCTATATGTACCATTCCAAGCTAAACTAGTCAAAATGATAAACAATTGGTTCACGTGACTTTCCCCGCGCTTACAACGCGTTTCACAATGATTGGTTAATTTCAAGTATCAAACTGTACAAGTCATACCTGTTTTTCTTTTTCTGTTTCTTCTTTGCTTGGCTTTGTTCCTCCAGTATCAGTTCCCTCACGTGACTGAATCTGCTCTTGAGCCCCTTGTCAATCATTGCAGCGGCAGCCTGGGCTTTCTTCTGACACCACAGAACAGAGGATTGGAACAAGGGATGGGTGGGATGGTAGTTTTAATAAGGAGGTAAATGTCAAGGCGGGAAAATTTCAAAGGGAGGTTACGTGTATAAACCATTGATTTGATTAACGTCAGAAAATGATTGGGGAAAACAAAATAACGTTTCAAGAGAAGCATTTCAAATTTTTCATTAGAGGAATCAAGATAAACATGAATAAGCAGGATTTATGAACAACAAATTGGACAAAGAATGAAACAGAAAGACGGATGAACAGATAATGCAAAAAGCGACCACAGAAAACAAAGCATTATAAAGAAAATGCCAAGGAAATGGTCATTATAAATGATTAAATCGCCCATTTAGTTCAAAATGTGGTAAAATAGTCCATTGAAGATTTGGGGGAGAGGGTGGAGAATACAGTAAAGCATACAACACAAAAAAAATATATAACCATACAATAAATAAATAAATAAACGACCAAGCAAGTAAATAATAACAATGCCAAGAATAGTTTCATACGTAGTTTTATTTCAAATCAATAACCAAGTTATTCAAACCAAACATCAAAGTGATTGCAAAATCCAGCGAAGATATTCCATTGTCCAAATGACAACACAGAACATGAACGACATCATCATCCAACAGTCGATTGGTGGGATAAGAGAGCCAGGCATGAAAAGAAAAAGCAAAACAGAACCGCATTAGCAAGGAAATGTAACTGTAATGCTTGGCGTGCTCCCCAAAGGACATATCTTCAAAACACTCCTACTACAGTTGTCAAAAAAAAGGTATCTGTCATCATGATCCAAAGGAATTGTAGACTTCAGTTACGTTACTTTTAAGTACTATTGGCAACAAGTCACTCACCTGTTCGTTATGTTCTAGTTGTTGCTGAAGTTTTTCCAGATTCTCTTTAGCAGTTTGTTGATTGTGATCAAGTCCCAATGCTTCTTTCAAACTCTGCACAGCTTCAGTCAAAAGGCCTTCTTTTTCTTGTCTGAAAATTATACACACAGAAAAGAATTAATCTGCTACGGGTTTAATGCAGACCCTTCACCGATACGACATATTTAACATGTTTAAATGGAGTTCATGTTGTAATTCATAAAAACATCTTTTCCTAGAAAGGAGCATGGTTGACAGAACAGGACGATTAAATCTCTGTAGTTGCAAGGTGATTTCTGTGGCACTGCCAACGTTTTATACAACCTGAACCTGTTGAGTTAAGAATAAACCTTATAAAGCTTATCTTAATTTGATGATTTTCTGTATCCACGTCTATTGTTCTTATAAAAGTCTTGGCATGTCATTCAGCTCCGAAATGGCGCAAAGAGGACCTAAACTCGTAGTATCAACAGTTATCACACAGTTTAAACCAATGTTTTACTTCTGAGAAAAAGTAAGTAAAAGTATTTTCAATCTACTGACTGTATTCCTTGCTCCACTAGCGTTGCTGTGAGATACTTCTTGGCGTTCCTGTGGCTTGGACAAATTGTCAGTGCACGCCGAAAATCTTTGATGGCAGCAGAGAGCTGGCCTTGATTAGCGCAGCTAGAAGGTGGAATTTTGAAGTTAATGAAAAAAGTAAATGTTATATGAAGGATCTTTAGTGGACCTCCGTAACAGTAATCAACCTAAAAGTACTTATTACTAACACTGAACTGTGAAGAGAGGGGTATACATGTACATGTTATGGTGAGGGGGGGGGGGGGGGGGGGTGGATTATCCAAATCATCAATTGGTTACCATACTTAAAATAAAGTGTAAAATGCTTATTACAGCTTGAAGTTCCTAAAAACAGTTGATTTCATGTCCAGTAATTGTCTTGGTTTACTCTAACTGTCTTGTAGAGTGGGGCTCTTAACTGCCAAAGAGGGGAACTTACTACAAAATAGAACCTCTGTAGAAGGCTTTTAAAAAGAAGTGAACACAACTGAGCATTGACTCAACTTGGCCACTTTGGCCAGTTAATTGAAAACCGCACTACTAGAGAGACTCACAGAGCTCCTTGTGCTACAAGTGCCTCGACATTTTCACCATCAATCTGCAGCGCATGCTTAAAGTACTTCATTGCTGTATCATTATTTCCTGCTTTAAAATGTTCCACTCCTTTAGCAGTGCTGAAAGAAGATAGTAAAAGCCTTTAAACAAACGAGAACTTACGGAAAATAACTGACATACTGAGGAATATCCACCTAGAGAAACACGCACTAATATTTCCTTAAAGACATTATCTGTCCTGAGGGGCAAATTTCTGAGAATTTCTGAGAGGGAAATTTCTGAGAGGCCAAATTTCTGAGAGGGAAATACAAGGAAAGCATTTCGAACCTGAACATGATATATTTGACTTTGAACAGACATATTGAATGTCTTTTTAAATATTTGACCCTGGACATGATATATTTGACCCTGAACATGATATATTTGACCCTGGACATGACATATTTGACGCTGGACATGATATATGTGACCACGAAGATGACATATTTGACCCTTGACATGACATATTTGACCCTGGACATGATATATTTGACTTTGAATGTACATATCAGATGTAAAGTATTTGTCGTATTTGACCCTGAGAATGATCTAAAAGATTAAAAGTTTTTAGACCATGTTAGGGGTCAAATATTCCTCCACATTCCTGCCTGAGAGAAGGTAACATGTTAGTTATATTTGAAATACTCTGTTTAATGTCAAACTTTTTGTTGACCTTCCACAAGAAAATAAGTGACTTACAAAGCTTTTAAACTTAGTTTCAATAATCTTCCATTTCACACTATTTGATGGCAGCATAACTAACATGCAGTACAGGTGTATTTTGGGCACACGAGTGCACATTTTCGTATTAGGCCACCATGTTGGATTTGGTAACTGTGGAGGATTGGGGCAAGGAAAAATTTGCCAAGGGGGGAGGGGGAGGGAAGGAAAAATAAGTGCCCCACCCCCACCCTGCCTCTGCACCAACCCTCTACCAATCAAGCATCTAATTACAATCCAAGATGGCGGCATCAAAAACCTGGTTTAATATTTATTGAAGCTCTTTCTTACGTCTCCATTGACCATTTGGCAGACTGTTGTCTCCTTAATGGCTCTGCATATTCACTTTCAGGACATTCATACCTGAACACAGAAACATCAGTGTACAATAACTTGCAATCAAGCCATAAAACAGCAAGACACAGTGGTTAACTGTACCTTGAGGTAACAGAAGCTGATACTGGTGGAGAAGGTTGGTGAAAAGTCAAATGTATGATATTAGTTAGGACTTTAAAGTCAACTTAAAAATGTCACAAAAATGAAAAAAAAATGTATTACAACTTCAGCAAGCATCTAGTAACAATCACTGCCTTACACAAAGAAATAACCAAAACAACACTCAGTGACACAATGATACCTTTGGAAGCTTCTCAACAATGAACATGGAGCAGAAGTGTCCACACCAAGCAGGTCTGTAAGGGTATCAATACTCCTTGGGTTGTTAAAACCTTTATGCTTGGTTAGATGTTCTTCAAAACTAAGTCCCTCTGGATTACTCTGTAACCTGGCAAATCAAAAAGCAGCCTTCATTTATAAATCATTAGTCACGAGGAATAATTTCTAAGCAACTATTGGATAAGATGGAAAAAAACTATTTTGACTGTGGAAAACAATCTATGCCAATGTCCAAGACATAGGAAAAAACTTGATCCACACTTACATGTAGCACTCACAAAAAAATAATTTTTTCATAGGTCATTGTTGTTTTAATTAATTTATTGTTCTATCTTAAGCCAAGAAGTTGGCAGGGAGGGGTATGGGAATAGGACTTCTGACCCTGCCTGCCCACCACTCCCCCATCACCACAAACTACAGATTACATTGAGAACTCAAATCAGTGTATGCAAATGGCACATCTTTTCAAACAGTTAAACCCCACTATTTTAAACTCCTAGGGAAAATGAAAAATAGTTTAAAATAGCAGGAGATTGAAATAGCCGATATCAATAAAATGACTGAAGGGTAAATCCAAGGGAAACAGTCTTGAGTTTGATATAAAAGGGAATTAGAAATAAGCAAGTTCAAATTACCAGGTCCAACTTTACATTGTTTTTATTCTAGAGAAACATACATACCGCTTGAAAACTGTATCTGGATCTTCGATGACACCCTAAATGCAGTGAGATGATAAACAATTTCAAAATCTTCAAACACCAACAATGATCACCTATCGTGTTTACAGACCTAATTACATTACTGGTATGATTATTTCAATGAATTAAGGCAGTTAAGAAGACCCATAGTTTTTTTGATAACAACATGCATCATGAAAAACAATGTTATCAATTATTATGAAGGTCTGTAAAAGACTCCTTTACATGTATGATCCAAAGCTCATTTACATTCACAACTAAAAAGGTTTCATAAAGCAGTACCCCAAGAAGGCTGGTGGTTCTAATGTAACAGCAAGAGTATAGTTACATGTAACTTTGAAATACTCTTAAACACGCTGTGAACCTTAGTGCAGTGCAATAGTTTGTTAAGATGCATATTGACAATACTGTGTTTACTTTATCAGTTACTCTTAAAAATAGAGCTACAAAATGTACAATGATGCCATGCATGTGAAACTATAAACAACAAATCTTGGTATCATCAAAAAATGAAAGATAATCAGAATACTGTCAATAAATTAATGTCTTAGTACTATAAATCTTATTACAATAAAGAAACAAAATCAATATATATTTACCAGGCGCAAGTGTTTATGTTCATCGGGCAATCTTGATTGTTTTAATGAAATGGAAACTCTGTTCTCTTGTAAATTCACAGCTATGATGACTCCTGAACATAAAGAGAGTCATATTAATTCCAGAGTTTGTCTGTTGCCAAAGAAGCAAGAAATTATTTGGAGGAATTAAACTACAGCTAACAATAT